GCATGGATATTCAGCCCCACGCAGGCAGACACTGTAAACCCTAAACCCTGAGGTTTAGCTTTTGGGTTCCCGGCCTCGCCTCCTCTGAGGGTTCGCAAGAAGCTCGGAAGCTCGGAAGCTGAGGGTCGCCCCAGGAAGAACGCAGAGAACCCAAGACCCCTTCTTTCAGGAATATATGCCTTAAGTCATAGTATATGAAGGCCCCCAGAATTTAAGGTGCATTCCTTAATTCCCTTATGGAACCCCTATAGACACCCTCATAGATCGCTTTACGGAACCCTATAATTCAAGGGTACATTCCTTAATTTAAGGCGGGTATTGAAACCTAAACCCTAAACCCTACACCCCTAAACCCTAAACCCTAAACCCTCGAACCCTAAACCCTAAACCCTAAAACCCTAAACCCTAAACGATTTTCTGGGAACGCCTTTTGTGAGCTTCCGGAGGGTTGCAGGCTCTGGCGGGCATCACTTCTCGTGGGATCAAGTCGCACGAGACCTTCTGGGCGCACCCTGGCCGCGGCCAGGGTTGATTTTCTAGGGGTTTAGGTTTAGGGTTTAGGGTTTAGGTTAGGGTTCAGGGTTTAGGGTTTGCAAGGAGGCTTCAAGCCAGATATCCTCAAGATGCTAGGTGGCTTCTTTTCGCTCGCAGCGCGATGCCTACACCTGAAGCATCCGGCTCCTTCCCCAAAGCACAGCCGGAATTCTTTGTTTGCCGCCAAAGGCAGACCGTGACCGAAGAAGCTCACAGAGACAGTGGGTTCATGGTGTAAGTCCATACTATACCCCGTCAGAGACTATGCCCATGTACCTTCCGATGCGTACCTGCTTCTCTCGAGACCTCTGCTTCGTTTAGTCACCACACGCCTGTGGCCTGTGCGAGGCCTAAGTCCTGCGTCACGCTTCCGACGCTGCCAAAGGAGAGACTCGGAGGAACATCCTTCGTTTGGAAAAAGAGGGTGCTTGGGCCATCTCGGGGTGCTTGGGATTTCGCCCCAAAGCTCTACGGCGGAGGGACGGCTACCACAGTTCGCAGTTTGCGGAGGTTCGCTTCTTTCCTCTTGCACAGACTTTGCCCCTAAGGCCCAAACCCTAAACCCGAAAGGGGGAGCTGTGAATTTTCAGAGTCGCTGCGCGACGCGTCGTTTGGGGCCCACCATTGAAGAACCCACTGGTAGGCCTTGCTCCATCCCTGCAGGGGCCACGTTCTGCCCCAACAGGGCTCCAAGTGTGCAGGTTATTATTATTGTTGTCGTTGTCATTACATGTTGTTGAAATTATTGTTATAATATTACTGCCAATATTTTTGTCATCAGTATGTTATTGCCATTGCTAGTATTATTGTTATCGTTCTTCTCGTTATTACTACATTATTGTATTTTATTTTTCTTATTCTTACTGCTCTTGCTCTTGTTCTCTTATTGCTACTATCATGATGGCTCCTTCTTCTTCTGCTTATCATCATGATTATCCTCAGTGGACGGCAGATCGCCTCCCCGGATCCGAGGAAGGCATTGGTGGTGCAGCAAACGAACGCTGCGGCAGGGGACATCGTGGTGGAGGCGGACGACTTTCGTGACTCTGTGACTCGGATCCCTCAAAGCCGGCGCGGAACAGATCTAGCATTTCGTTCTTCGGTTGCGGCATGTGGAGTTCAGATTGTAGGGCATGGTACGAGGGTGTCTGGGCGCCCTAAGGATCAAGAGATACTTCGAAGATCGAGCTGACTTGACTGCTCTGAACCTCACTTGAACGCCAAGTTGAGGTGAGAGAGCTCGGGAAGCTCGACATGAAGGTTTACGATGACCACCTGAGCGAGAGGCTGCACGTGAAGTGCGACGCCTAAAGCCCCGTGGGGCGGGAGTTCCTCACATGTTCCGAAGCAGCCGCGGCCTGAGCTGACGGCTGTACCCTGGCCCTGAATGCTCCACTCGGAGGGAAAAGAGTGCCATGGAGGAGGGAAGGAGCAATGCCGCAGTTTAAGCAGAGTTTTGGTTGGAGTATAAGGATCATTGCCCTGCTACAAGTAGTAGGAAGGCTTCGCGAACATCGTGCCAAAAGTAGCCTGTAGCAAGAGCATCGCCCCTCGGAATCACGATAGCTTTGTCATTTGGCCTTTGGCTGCGTGCTATAGGGTATGGGATTGTAAAGACAGACACTAAACCTAGACCCTAAACCCTAAACCCTAAACCCCTATACTAATCATAAATACCAGGAGCTTCGAACCTCGGGCCTGACGGCTTTGATAATTGGATTCAGCTGCCCCTACTTAACCCGTTCTCGGAATCCACGCGTCATGTACCTGCATGGATATGTCGTGTGTTTGGCAGCCATGGCTCGAACATGAGGCTTCTTCACAGATGTGCAAGATCTATTCATTCTCGTTGCATGCTTGCGTCCGCATTCGTAGTTGCAAGCTGTGTGCATTTCCGTTGGCAATCTCGCTGCTCTTCCATGAGCGATTGGGCTCATGAGTTCCGGTTGGTTGAGGCCGGGCTGTCGATGCATTGATATGAGTGTCATTCTTTTCCTTCCGATTGGAAGCAGGTACAATGGCAGCAGTTTTCTTAGACAGCGGCTGGCATTGTCGGTGGTGAGCGGAAAACCGATTGTCATTGCCGACATACGGGCGAAGGCTGGAGGGATAAGCCTTACCTGGCTTCAGGGCGACAGCCTAAATCGTCAAGTGCCAAAGCCTTGAACCGTCACGCCTGAACCAAGCTTCGGATTGTGTTGATCTTCTTAGTTGCAGAAGTTCCCTTGCAACAGCACTCGAGGATTTCACTTCAGGATGACCCCCACACCCTCAAGCTCTAAAGCCCTAAGCCCTAAGCCCTAAAATCCCCCGCCCTTGAGCTCCCGCACTCCAGGACGAGGAGCCTGGACTGCGAGATTACGAGGCACCAAGCTTCCGCCCAGCGAAAGCAACAGGGTTTGGGGTTTTAGGGTTAAGGGTGTTTCTGGTTGTGGGTGTTGGGTGTAGGTGTTGGGGCCCTTTTTTAGGAGTTGAGGTTTTGGGGTTAGGCCAAAATCATCACCCTGAGACCACCGAGGAACGCAAAAGAACTCCTTCCCCCGAGCCGAGAGTCCATCCAAGCAGCAAGGGGTATCAAAAGACGTCCGGGCACTTCTGGTGGCTGATGTTTCAGCTCAAGAGTTTGCCTTGATACGACCCCTGAAGCCCCACACAGATCCTGAGCCCGAAACCCCATTTTTGCGCTCAAGGGTCTGGTATCTAAGCATGAGGACTCGGGCGAGCACAGGTGACCAGATGTTCTCAGGAGCTCGACCCGGGATTTGTGCTTGAGGCTTCATGGTTTCTCACGGTCGCGCGGAGGCCTCTTTCCTCAGACTGCTGGACAAGATCTGTGACGGCCACCCGCCTCTTGAGCTTTGCTTTCCTTGCATTGGAGGTTCATGGGTAGTTATAAGTGGAGTTATAAGTAAGCTAACTCTAGTTATAACCCATATTAGGGGACTTATAACCCCAAAAACCCCGAGCCCCTCCGCCCAAAGGCCCCGAGGCCAATCAGGGCTCCCCTGGTCTTTGCGCGTCGGTGCACAGATTGATTGACTGTTTCTGCCTTTCTGTCCTTGGTTCAGAACCGACACTGACCCTGAACCCCAAACTCTAAACCCTAAGCCCTAAACCCTAAACCCTAAACTCTAAACCCTAAACCCTAAACCCTGAACCCTAGACTCTACACCCCGAAGCACTGACAGCAGAACCAGGATCTGACATCAGCATCGATGAGACGGGAACCACCCTGAGGCGGGCTGTTGGGCTTGGTGTGTCGGAAGGTCTCAGGAAATTTTTGAGTCACAGATGGGGGGTTTTTGCCGGAAACAGCTAAACTAAACCCTAAACCCTAAACCCTTCTGTGAGTTTGAAAAAAGGTAGGATCCCGTGGGCCAGGATGACAAACCCGGCTCACGGCCCGAAATCCATAAAGTACTGACTCCAGAGCCCGAGGGCAAAGCGGCCCCGGAAGCGCCAAACTCCGAGAAGCCGCCGCACCTCTCACACAAGTCCGGTTTCATCCCTTCTTTGGCCAGAAAGTGCTCTCTAACTCTTCTCGGAGAAGCCTCCTCATCTTGGTACAACACCTTGCAGAGCCTACAAGAAAACCCCCAGACCTAAGCGTTCCAGGTACAAACCTGGGCAGATTGTCGGAGGAAATGGGCTGGCACCTTCCTGAGAGTCGGGGGTATCGTTTAGGGGCTTGGGGTTTACAGGGTTGAAGGGTGTTTAGGGCTCATAGAGGTCAGGAATTCTGAGTTTACGGCATATGGGGTGGAAGGAGGCCGGATGATCTAGGATTGAGTTCAGCGGTTCGGGCTTTAAGGTTGAGCTTGAGGATGAAAGTTAAGTTTAGCGTGTAACTTTGTGGGGGTCTAGAGCTGGTGTGTTTACGAGCCTAGAGTTTAGTTTACGAGCCCTCGGAACCATGCAGTCGAACTTTTGTTTGGAAGATCGGTGCAAGCACCTTCTGCGCATGACCCCGATGAAGGGAACGATTGCTTGTCGCTGAAGCCTTGAACTTACCTAGAGTACCTTCACAAGGTACATGTACCAGTTTCTTAGGGTCACATCCCCTAAACCCTAAACCCTGAACCCTAAACCTTAAACCCTGAACCCTAAACCTTAAACCCTGAGCCCTAAACCCTAAACCCTGAACCCTAAACCTGAAACACTGAACCCTGAGCCCTAAACCCTAAACCCTGAACCCCAAACCCTGAACCCTACCCTAAACCCTGAACCCTGAACCCTTCTTAAAAGGTACCTTGCCTACTCTTCGGTAGATGCTAGGACCTAGGATCCGCGTGATAGACTCCGAACCCTTTGTCCGAGGCTCGGGCCCCGAACCCCGAAGCACCACGGCTCTGGGAGTATGGTGTCCTACAGTAGATTAAGCTAGTTTATAGTTTTTGGTATAGTAAAGTATGTAAAGTCTAGTAAAGTAGAGTAGTTTAGAGTATAGTATATTATAGTAAAGTATAGCATCGTCTTTGAATTCTTTTCAGGGTTCCAGGGCTGGAGCCCTGAAAAGTCCCTGGAGTTCTCGGCGTTGTCGCAAGGCCATGCGCAAGAACCCCAAGTACTTCCGTAGGGTTGAGGGCCAGAGGGGGCCTTCCCTTGAACTCCTTAAACCCGATTCCTAAACCTCACACCCTAACACACAAAGAGGGAAGCGTATCAAACAACAAAATCCCAAACCCCATAGCCTTAGGTTCACAGCTGCCCTTCCAGCCGATGCCTGACCTACTTCCTCGAGGTGGCACTGAACTTCGGAGGATGGTCACGATGATATAACTGCTAGTGCCGCTAGGGTTTCGGGATTAGGGTTAGGGTTTTAGGGTTTGGGATATCGGGTTTAAGGTTTAGGGATTACCATTTTTCCCCTTACTGCTACCAGCACTGCTGCTACCAGCACTGCTGCTGCTGCTGCTACTGCTTGTTCTTAATCGCTCAGCCGAAGCTGTGGCTGCTTGCTTCCTCTGGTTCTTGGAGTTATCGGAGGTGTTGGGGTTTACGGTTTAGGATTGCTGCACGGGGCCGTAGGCAAGAATTATTGGCTAGCTGACGTCGCAGTGGCACGTGTTGCATAGTTTCCAGCAGCAGGTGTTGGCTAGACCCTCTCTGAACTCCCAACTTTCGACCTTTTCTTGGAAGCTCCGAACTACTGTAGGGGCCTAAATAATTTCCTGTACGATTTTGGGGGATTCCTGATTATATTTGTAGATTAATGGGCCCCAAAACCCTATTCTAATTATTAAGGTCCCTACATTACTCCCCAACCTCAATGTCCTGTTCATACAACCGCTCGTCCTTGTTTGGTGCAATGCCGACACCCCAAGCCTTGACCCTAACTCTGACCTCCGCACTCCAAACCGCCTAAACTTCCCTAAACCCCTAAACCACCTAAACCCCCAAAACCCCTAAACCCCCAAACCCCTAAGCCCCTAAAGCCCTAAGCCCCTAAACTCCGTAAGCCCCGCAAACCCCAAAACCCTAAACTTTGCAGGGACTGCTGTTGATCGCTCCCTTGGCCAAGCAGCCCCTTACGGCGGCAATCTCAGAGACGCGAGAAGCGAGTACTAGCAGAGGGTCCCCGTTGAGGCTTGAGGGGACTAGCAGAGCTTGGGTTCAAAGTGCAACAACAATCACAGGTGGAAAGGCTGGCACGGGAGCCTTGATAGCTTGCAGGATGATTATAGGGTTTAGGGTTTAGAAATCATGCTTATAATGCTGGTACTGCCGAGATCTGGCTGCAGGGCCATGTTTGTGGTGAAACCAGTGGTGCTGATGTCATGGGTGGTGTGGATGTTGATGCCGAGAAATGGACCTATACTCTTTAGGCATGTAGTAGCAGTAACTAGAGCAGCGATAATTGTTTCTGTGTGACCCAGCAGAGGAATAAGGGAAGAAGTAGAAGCGCACGCAGGAGTGGGAGCATACAACACAGGAGGAATCGTCGTCGCCGTCGTCCTCGTCCACATGCCCATCTCCTTCGTCGTCGGCGTCGTTCACGTGAGCAACAGCTGCAGCTGCAGTACTAGAAGTAGCAAAGATGAAAAGCGATTGCAAGTACAGCATTACTCGACGGTGTGTTGAATGCAACAACATCAGCATTGACGACGACGGCGACGAGGATGAGGAGGAGGACAGACCAGGCAGACGACGGTTAGAAATGCCAGCAAGAATGCTGCCGCTTCGCCTGCTTCTGCCGCTGTAGCTGCCACCATACAACAGCCATCACTGCAGCTGCATCAGTAAACCCTAAACCCTAAACAACTGCTTTGCCATCAGTGCCTAAACCCTAAACCCTAAACCACTGCTTTGCC